CTTGCAAATCGCCATATTTCACTTATAGTCCAGAGAACGAAGAGAAAGATATGGTAAAACGAATACTTTCGGATAGACCCGATTTTTATGAAAATTTGGAATTAAGCTTATTTTACCCTGTAGATGAAAAGTTATGTATGCTTGATATGTGCTTCTTATTTTTATGGGTATGGTTATGCAAAAAAATGAATAAATATAAAAATAGATGTTACATAGACTAAAATCATATCTTAATATATAGAATAAATATTGTTTTTAATTGTGGGTTATAATTTACGTTATTTTTATAAAGTTTCAACGCCTAAAAACCACCCTTAATGATAAAAATATAAAATTAATAGTTTCTTTGATCTTAAACTATTTTTATAGCGCATATATTACAGATAGAAATCTTTTTAATAGTAATAATAGTTCATGGTATTATAAATAATTTATTACAATATTTCAACCTTAAAAAACTACCCCTAATAATTATGCAAATAAAAACAATTTTATACATTTAAAGTTGATAAATAGAATTATTAACAGATTAAAGGGAAAACGTGAAGATATTCTATGTATATAATAGATTGCTCCAAAGTTGTGGATAACCAAAATATTGATATGCTCCGAAAATTGAAGCAGTAAGGTACCGTTGGTTTTTTAACGACAACTTCCTTAATTTTAAAGCTATTAAGACGATCCATAAACTATTACCGGAAAATTTCAACAGATACAAGTACTGTAAAATTGAATATTTTTTAAAGCGTTATTTTTGAGATTCTTAAAGGGTTTGAAAAACATAATCTTCGCCATCAACTGCTAACTTCTAGCAGCGACATCTCTGTTAATTTTTATCCTATACAAATAAATATATAACCAAAATATTATGTGAAAAGAATCTAAACTTTTGTACATTGAATATTTTTCGTATCTTTTTTATTTTTAAAATTATTTTCAAAAATATGCATTCTAAACCGCTTAAACTTGTATAATATATTGTTAGCACATAAAAATGTAAATTGTAGAAGGATTACCTTTAATTTTAAATCTCGTGAAGAATTCATCAGTTTTTGTACTGATTTTTTTCTGGAAAAGCGAATTAACAGTTTTATTTTGATCATAACTCTTTTAATTTTCGTACTAATGACTTAAGTCAAGTTTATTTTAAATCTTTAGTAGAAGTTTAGAAATTGTTCTGTGCATATTTCCTGAAAAATATATTTTTTTTAGTTATTTTACGTTAAATACTTCCAATTTAGTTTCTGGGGGACATGAAATTATCTTCAACCAGCCGTATCTCAGCACCTATCGCACCTACATAATTGAAAAATAACTCAATCTTTTTCCTTTTCTATAATCTTCATTTTCTTCGTGATGTTTCCTTTTCATAGAATGTCTATTTTCCGAGTTATTCGAGAAAAACTACTGAAAAACGTTTTTTTTTCAATAAAAAAATGTACATTTTCAATCACCAATAACTCAGAAAATATTGACTTATCGAAAAATGTTCATATGATACTTTTACTTAAAATTGATTGCTTTATCGATTCCTGGGGTTATTTTCAATACTTTATTTTTCACCCTCTAGCGCTCATCGGTATCGACTTACAGCCCAAGTTTCACGTCAATCGGTTCTATCCGAAAGAATTCGGAGGGGAATCCCTTGGTTCCCTGGACTATTATACATATACACAGTTCACTAAAAACATTAAATTAATACATGAAGAGAAACAGCGTCCGTGAAAGTAACAAATAAGTCGACGTACAAATAAAAGCTCAACCCAAACATTTATTTTTAAATTTCTTAAGCACGTGCGTATTTGGGAAACTACAACTTCCTTAAAATCTAAATTCAGCCTGTTAGGAGCCAACTTTGGAATTATTTTCATTGGAAAATTTTTTACAGTCTACTTTAATCCCTATCGGAGTTGGTCCTAGTGTTTTTTAAAATAAAGTCGAGACCCTAACTTACGCTCGGCTTTCGCTGTTCACATCTTTTTCGAGAGCCTGACTGGGACACCCTGTATATTGTTTCGCTCAGGTCCAAGCGTTTTGTTTTGAATTGGACAGTCCCGATATATACGATAAGCTATCAACTTGCTTGTCACTGACCTAGTATCCGCTAATGTACTTAGAAGTGCTGACCCGCAACTTGTCTCGAATCCAGCAGTGTGACTCAAACATGCCTTATCTGGCTATTTTCGGAACAACCTACTCCGTAGCGTACCTTATCGCGTTTGTTTTGTTTTTGGGGGATCGGGTTTTAACGCTTTCCCGATGAGAATATTATCTAGGCGTAAAAATAGTGCGCCGGTATGTTGTTTTTATATTCCAACGGTGGTACTGGAAACATTCCCAAGGGAAATACTAAGTAAAGTTAACTTAAGCCTTAGAGATTTGAAAAACGTTACGCAGTCCATTGAAATCTCGTGAAATCCCATGAAATCTCTTGAAATGTTCAGGAAGAATATTATCCTGTAAGCTTAAAAATTCCTTGACGGCCTTCGATTTCTAATAAACGCCCTGTATATTTGCTGATCCTAACCTAACCTAACCGAAATGCATTCCAATCAGTCTAACCTTGCATCGTCGTGGATTAGATTATAAATAAAACCGCGCGGGGAATCGAACATAATTTTCGTTTACCTTGAGGAGTTCGGCGTTAGAAAACCCGATGGGTTCGTGTCTTTTTTTTTCTCTTTGCATCTAATTCAGTCCCACGATCCCGAAGAACGGTGAATTCGTAAATAAAGGATTAGTCATTGTGTAATTAGAAGCGAATATATCTGTGTTATGAATGTTAAGCGTTCTCAATGGAAAAAAATCCTTATACATTATTTATGTTATTTAAATCGCGTTACGGTGGTTTTGCGTGAGCGTATGGAAACATGTATCTCTTGCAAATTGCTATCGACGTAATTATCATCTCGTATATCAGAGTCTCTGGCGAAAACGTGGCACCTGACGTTAAAAGCGCGGTTTTTCTTTCGTGCGGGTAAAAAATTGTATGTATAAATGTTAATAACACCCTGTGTATTTCTATTCTAGGATGAATGGTTGATTGTTTAGAAATACTTTTTTTATATAAACTTTCAAAATACAGGGTGCCAGTTTTTACGGCGGCGCCATTCGGATCTCGGCTATACGAAGAGATACTACTTGGTCAAATAGGGCAAAACTAAGCTATAGGCATTGACTATAGGATTTTAAAAGGAACTATAACGTTCAAGATATTTTATTACAGGAATTGTTCAAATGGTCATTTTAGATGAAAAATCCGCGGAATGCTATTAAATTAGAGGGTGGAAATTGGAGATAGGGGTGAAAATGCACCCCTTTCGGTTTTTTAATTGTAGCTCGAAAACGAAGCAAAATTTCACTATAGTTCACAGGAAAAATTATTTAGAGAATTGAATTTCCCATCGAAATGGCTGATTTAAAAAATTTAAAAGGAAAATTTTATGCAAAAAATCGTTAATAAACAATTTGAAAAAAGCAAAATAATCGATTTTTTAATTTTTTTGTACTTTTTTGACTCAAAAAATCAATTTTGAATGAAATAATCTTATTTTACTTTTTTTTAAAATTGTTTGTTACCGATTTTTTAAATAAAATTTTTCTTTTAAATTTTTTAAATAAGCCATTTCGATGGGAAATTCAATTGTCCACAAAATTCTTCCTATGAACTATACCGAAATTTTGCTTTGTTTTCGTGCAAGATTTTTTAAAGAAACAGCAAAAGTGCATTTTCATTTTCAACCCTCTAATTTAATAGCACCCCGCGGATTTTTCATTTTTAATGAACCTTCGAACAAGTCATGTGATCAAAAAATCGAATTTTTTGCTTTTCATCCCTATCTGCAATTTCCACCCTCTAATTTAATAGCACTCTGCGTTTTTTTCATCTAAAATGACCCTTTGAACAATTCATGCAATAAAATTGCTTGAATGTCATAGTTCCTTTTAACCCTGTTTTTTTATAGTTGATGACGAAGAGAAAATTAACCCATTTATTTTAGTTTTGATGATAATCTAAATAATTCTAAACAAATAAAAAAAATAAAACAGTAAATGCTATAAAATTAAATCAAATAATTTTCGTTTAAAACGACATTTACATACATTTGAAAACATTTTTTCAAATATTCCCAAGAAACAGCTAGTTAAATATTATTGTTTTATCATTCTTGGCATTTTAAAATAATTTTAATTTTTTTTCGCTAGATTTCTTATAGGTAATTGCTGAAAGGCGGTCAACTATAAAATTTTTGACTTTCAGATCATGAAACTAGAGATTTTAAGCTTCAATTCGATTTTTTTTTATTGCTCAACGACAATTTTTCGCCAAATTAGTCGTTTGAAAGTCCCTTAAAAATTTAAGATATTTTTTTATCGTTTAATTTTTGTGACTAGTAAAACAAACTCGAGTTCCGATAAAAAAAAAACGCCTATCCACCTCCCGCAACCCGCCGAGCTGTTCCACTTGTAATTTCGAAGGTCCTCACCTACAAATCGATTGAGTAATCCCGTCTCGCGTTTACGGTATCACCTTAATTAAATCTCCGCGCGCGAAGTTAAATACGAACCCCTCCCGGTCCCGAAGGAAACGGGCTTCCCGACGGGGGCGAAGTTGCGGCAGGTAAAGGGCAGGCAGCCGCCGCCGTCTTCGCCGCCGCTGCCGCCGCCGCCCCGGCCGGCGGCCACATGATGCGCCGCGCCGATCTGGGTCACTAGGCCATCCCCACCAGGCCCCTCCACGCGCCGCGGCCCCCACGCTCTCCGGATAGTGTGTGCGATGTTGTAAGCGTGTGTGTGTATGACTCCACAACAGCACTAACATAGACCTGGTTCATTCGAAAGTAGGTCACTAGTCCCGACTCACTTTCACTTATTACACGGGCCTCCTAATCATTTTCCATTGTACCCCTGCGCCGGCAGCACGCACCAGCTCGGAAGGGGTTCCTCGATACCGCTCGCGTCGAACCACTGGTCAGTTTTCAGTCCACGAACAGAACCGTTCGGCGTCGGAGGTGTGTCTCGTGCCGTCGTCGTTAGTTAAACAACCGATCGCCGCTAGGCCGCCTGCTATGTACTGTCGCTTTCGTTGCCAACGGTGCGTGTTGAGTGTCTTCAGTGTATGATCCCTTGGATACTACTCGCTCCTATTTGGATTATAACCTCTCTGCGCCTTGGATAACTGTGATGTGCTGTGTTCAAGCCATGACGATGGTTTTTTATTTAGGTTAGGTGATACCCGCTCTCGAAACTCGAACCAAACCCCGCGCTAGTCGTGAGATGTTACTCGACATGGAGAACCATTCCACGTTGTTGTCGCTTAACATGTCCCCCTTCAACCCCAACACGGGCGATTCCCCCGTGGCCAACCAGGCCTCCAGCCCCCTGCCGCCCCAGTACGGCTCGCCCCCCATATCCACCCCCTACAGCAGCTGCCAGCAGACCATGGGCATGTCCCATCATCATCACCAGCCCCCGATGATGATGCCTCAGTCCATGGGTAACCTAGACACGTCCTATCTATTTTCTTCAGGGGCCGGCGCCATCTCCGGCATCGACATGGGCGGCAGTTACCAGATCACGGGGCCGCCCGCCGCACCGGGGGACATCCCCGACACCAAGGACGGGATCGAGGAGCTCTGCCCCGTCTGCGGGGACAAGGTGTCGGGGTACCACTACGGGTTGCTCACCTGCGAGTCCTGCAAGGGCTTCTTCAAGAGGACCGTGCAGAACAAGAAGGTGTACACGTGCGTGGCGGAGAGGAGTTGTCACATCGACAAGACGCAGAGGAAGAGGTGTCCCTTCTGCCGGTTTCAGAAGTGCCTGGAGGTCGGGATGAAGCTTGAAGGTGAGTCCCATTTTTTTATTTTTTTTTTTTGTTTCTTTTCCGTTAGAGTACGTAGAATAGTGAAACAGACGAGCTTGTCTATAAGGAAGTAGATAAACGGCAGGATATAATTTGTTTACGGTTCCTACGGCGATTGGGAGGAAATCGCGTTTTCACCCGATTGCTGAAATAAAATAGGCGAATCGACAGATAAACTACGTCTGTCAGATTAATTTTACATGCAAGTAACATAAAAAACAATAGTAATGAGACGCGACAGATCAAAAGATGCTTTTGTAAGGACGACTGCCTAAAAGGGTCGGGAAAAATATGAAAAAAAATAAAATTTCAGTTGAACAAACGACCACATTGTTATTTAAGATCTTTCAATTAATGAAATTTGCACTATTAAACATTACAAATGATATATTTATAATATATACTACTATACAAGCAGAAGAAAACCGTAGTAATTGCCATTAACTTATGTTTTACTTTTAAAATGTTACAAGGATCTCTGTAGGGGTTTTTGCAGCTATGGAAAATAGCATACCATTGTTGTATGCTGTCATTGTACTAAATAGACTTTTATTTTAGTTTTTTCATGCATAATCTTAAACAGAATGTGGGAAATATGTTTTAGAGATCTCGGCTAATTGTAAGTAAAGCCAGAATTGGTGCTGGAATTATTTTGAAATTTAATTAAGTAAATGTCGCTAATGTCAATTATCCCGTTTAAACTATAACAGAAAATCACTAGAGACGAGTGCAGCCACATCATAAACAGTAGAAGCTTTTACTAAACCAAAGGTACTTTTATCATTAGCTTCGAATATATACGCTAATAGTCACGCCATTTTTAATTAAATAATATTTCCGAAATTGTAAGTAGGTACAAAGTAACAGTTACTGGTGCAGTGACAATTATGATTGCACTTGTTGTACATAGGTAACAATGTTCTTGAAAATAAAAAAAATGTGTACGGACTAAATTAATTACATTAACCTCTATACCTATAGCGTCAAAATGGTCGGTTGTTTTTGCATACAATTTTTAGGAGCGTATATAATGCAGATTCTAATTTCTGTATCTCTACGAATACCTTTTATGTAAATAAAAGAACATGTTAAAACCAGTATTATTTAACAGTACGTGTGGTGTCAAATTTAAGCCTTTAAACAAAATCAAAACAATAATAACGAACATTTGTCGATTCCCCCAAAAAATCTACAATTTCATTGCACCATCATTAGGTCTTAGAAAACCCACCATAATTACCAATTTAGCCGACTAGACTTAATAACCATAATAATGTATTTAAACACGAAATAATGACCAAGAAAAATAGAATGCCACATAATTGCAGGCTTTGCTACGACAAATGCACCTTTTTGTCAGCGAAAAACAATTCTTATGTGACAAGAAGTCGCCCCAATGAAAACTATTGACGAACCGCCGTTCTTCGCTTATCCTAATCGCGCTGTTAATCCGATCGATAATTCTTGTCCGACCGACACCTGCTATGCTGACCTACTTCTGCCGCGGATCTATCCCGAAAAGTGATGTGTGCGCTAGGTTTTTCGCTATCTAACTCCGATTTATTCATAAATGGGCGACAGATTTATTTCAGATAATGAAATCGACGGGTGTCATAAGTCACAGATTGACCCACTTATGTACAAGTACACATCTTCGGTGTACGATGCTGATTTTGTGATATATTTTGTTGTCGCTTGTCTCCAACACACTTATTATACATAGAACAGGGTAATCTGAAAAAATTACACTCAGTTATGTATACAACAGCAGCATATAACAACAGCAATGTAGAGAGAATGACACTATCGCTGTTTCTGTTGGCGTTTTGCTGTGCTTAAGTCAGTGCGTCAGTGCGCAGTCTCAGTAGTAGTTGTGGTGATGGCCGTCGTAAGCCCCGCCCATCTGCCGTGGCGAGGTAAATTTGAATTTCAGCCTTGACTGAGTTTCGATGTTGTAAACAGGTCGCCGTTGTTTTACCCGAAAATTTTATAAATCCTCGCACGTCTACTGTCGTAAATCCTAACCTCCAAGCGCAATTTCAAGGTCAAGGAAGTAAACTCGTCCTTTTCACGCATAAACCAAACGAATAGTTAATAAGGCGGTGCCCTATTTCTCACAGCCGACGTCGCAGCTGTAAGCAAACGCCGACCTTGAATTAAGAATTGGTGGAAATTCTCGAGTTTTTTGAATACTAACAAGTGTAAGGAAAGTTTTGGAATTAAATTCCCCATAAAATAAAGTAATAATTTTTTATCAAGTCCGCCAAAGGGAACTTGCGTTAAATCACCATATTTTTGGTTCCCTTACATGCCCCTGCTCTGTGTCGGTTCTTAATCGGAACACCCTGTATTTGTTTTTTATAACGCTCGTGCAACTTTGTTCATGAAAAGCAAAAACTGCAAATTGGATGGCAGATGGCGGACAGGGGAAAAAATTGCGCAATAGCCGTCTCTCGCCGAGGATGTTCTCGGCAATTTGAGCAGCCTCGATAATCCCAGGCTTTCGCAAGATTTTTAAAGGCTCCTATTGCTGAAATCGCAACAGAGCAAACCACTCCACGTTAGTACCGAACAACACATGGTCGCTTGCACAACCGCGCCATCCGAGAATCGTCGGGTTTCTATAATAATCGTAATGAATATGTCGAGTTGTTTAATATAAACGGCGCGGTGGTATTTTCAGTCGTGATTCGATTCCATCCGTTCTAGTCGAGAGTTATGGGTGGTGTTGGTACATAACCATTCCCATTTTTGCGCCGCCACGTAATTGTCTGCTCACGAACTCAGGCGAAATTATAATCCGCCGCCCCCTCCACCACTCCGCGCCTGCTCCTTGAGGGTAGGAGTCTTCTTGCACCATTCCTTCCCGAAGGGAAAAACCTTACTTTTAAATCAACCAGCATTTTGTACATATTAGTACTGGGGTGCCTCAAGGGTCAGTTGTTGGGCCTATATAATAAGTATTAGGTATAAATGACCTGAAACCTGGCCTGAAATAGGCGTGGAGCTTTAAAAAGTAAAGTAGAACATTATAATCGTGAAGTATTTTATAAAGAGATGTCGGAGAAAATATATTCGTATCAAACCAGAAGACTGAACATTTATAAACAATCCAGGTCTATCTGCCAATGAGGTCGCGTGTTTCCGCCACACCTGGTCGTTGTTTTTATTTCGGACGCTTGGCCCTACTTTCAGCTTCTGCCAAGACTAAATACTACCCGACGAACTGACCGGAATACGCTTCGTACCCGTTTGGCTCTGTTTTCATTCATATTCCAGCAGAAATAAACGCACAATCGAAGTCGGGTTGAGAAGATTGCCAATAACTAGTTGCCCTGGCGACTAGGCGGCTTCCGTTGAATCCTCAGAAGGCCAGGTTTGTTTGAAATATACGAGAGATAAAAAAATATAGAGCACAAAACTTAAAATAAATTGGTAAGATATAAATGGAATAATTCTAGATGAAAATTTAATGAATATAACAGGGAATATTTTGTGGAAACAAATCTATTTCCCTTTGCGATTTTCGATGTATCGAATCGAGCAGATAACCTTAATTTCTGTGTTTATTCAAATCGAGCGATTTCTAACGAAACGTGTGTATTCGTTGGGCAACGACATAGTATTTGACTAAGAATTTATGTAGGCTTACAATTGTTCAAAAGTAAACTGTATATGTGTGTACCAATACTTACCCAACAGCGTTTGAGTAATTTAGAAAACGGTCGGCTGTTTTCGATTTGTATTAATGATTTAGCAGCGTTGTGTCGGTGTAGGATATTACCGAAATTGTGTTGCTCGCAAACGCGCCGATTCAGACGTTTAGAATAAAATCGAAATTACCTGGTTTACTAGCATTTCACAATGTATTTGCCATCGTCGGTTATTTCATTTGGGACCTGGGAAAAGTGGTTTCAGCGTAGACATTTTATATTGAAAATAATTACAGGGACTTTTAATTAAATCACTTGCTCTGGCTTAAGTTTTTTTTAACGAGATGTGATTTTGCCAAAATTTATGGGCAATAATACAGAATTCGAACGCGAAAGCAGTGATGTCGATCATCAGATTTATCCACGTGTTTTTTTTTTTATATAAGGCGTGTTCGTGTACCCATTTACATCTTATTCATGGTCTGATTGTGGCGCTGCCTTATTATGTCATTAATGGCAAAGATTGACGTAATAAAAATATGAAATATTCATAATATTCAAAATGAGCGCGAGCCGCGAGAGAATTTAGAAATTCGTGCGCCACGTCATCGGTGGGTACATGTAGATCTACATAAATCGACTTCCTGATCAAATACATTGACAGATGCATATCCCCTGATCCAAAAACCGAGATAGGGTTACGAGATTGCCACTTGCTTATGTAAAAAGGCCGTAACTTTATGTTCCCTGAATACGTATTTGAAATGAAGCCAAGAGGAGTGTTCGGTTTAAGTGATCTACTTAACCTGGATCATCTAAGATCAGCTAAATGAGAAACTTCTACCAGTTTTAATTTAAAAAATATTGGTCTAGCCTCGCGTTTTTATGCTTGTTGGAGTTCAATATTTCACATGTTTAAATGGAAGAGTTTTCACCGGATTTGGATGAATATTTCACTACACCAGGTTAACGCAATTCCAATAAATTCATTCGACTGTCCTTCATTGCTAAGAATTGGACATAATTGCAAATCTTTTAATTTAAATAATGCTCAAGGGTGTGGTAAAGCGCTGGAAAATAACCAAATTTTACACTGACACAGTTATTATGCATTCCAGAACTTCTTTTATATTTTTTTCCTCACTTTATCCCCTTTATTGTTTTTGCTAGTACACCTTTAATCAAACAGTGCACTAATATTAATAAATTAGAGAACAATCGGGCAAGGCAATTCGTATAACAGGTCTCAGTCAGCTCATGTGTAAAAATAGAGACGGTTTTCCTTTTCAGTAAACAAACACGAATAATTTATACACTACTCGTACTTTT